AGAGCAAGAGAGACTAAGATGTGAGACCCAGTTCCTGCTTCCAAAGATCTTACTCTGTATGCATTTTTTAAATCATTCATTTATTTATTTCTTCAATTATTTATTTGTTTGCTTGCTTATTTATTTATTTATTTGGAGTGGGGAGGAGAGAAAACTACCCAGTCTTTACTTATGATCCCCCTGCTGATTCCAGGCATCCCCACTTGATCTGACTCCTCAGGTTTTATCTGTGACATTCCACCCTTAGGTAAACAGCCCTGAAAGAATATGAACAGGACTTAAAGCAAAGGCAGAGCACTAGACTTAGACTCAGGAAGATCTGAATTCAAATTCACCCTCAGACACACCTAGCTTTGTGACTCTGCACAAATCACTTACCCTCTGTCTGGCTTGGTTTTTTCATCAAAAATTGAGGATAACAGTAGCACCTCCCTCCCAGGTTAAATCACATGATATTTGTAAAGCCCCTGAAGTGCTGCATAAATGCTAGCTATTATTCTATCGAAGTTCATCATTCTGCTGTTTGACACCTGGGAAAAGCCCTGCTTGCCCACCTTATTTCTGTCTCTGCATGAGAAAGCCTGGCCTTACAAAGCATGTGGATCAGGGGAACAACCATGATCTCTAGAGTCATCTGTTTTATTTTTGCTTTCATGTACCTGACATTGTTTCAGCTGTAGTTGCATTTTAAATAAGGGTAAGCTAACCTAACACTGTTTATCATTCATTTTTCTTGTTGTTCAGTTATGTCCAACTCTCCATGACCCCGTATGGGGTTTTCTTGGCAAAAATACTAGAATGGTTTGCCATTTCCTTCTCCACTGGATTGGGAAAACAGAAGTTAAGTGACTTGCCCAGGGTCTTACAGGTAGGGAGTTTTGATGACAGATTTGAACTCAGGTCTTCCTGACTCCAAGCCCAGCACTTTATCCACTGAGCCATCTTATAACATTCCTGTTATAATTGAATTTTAAATAACCCTAACTACTTCTCTCTTCCCTATTTCTGGCCTTGGTTTCTGATTGTTTAAATAATAATAATAGTAACCCAAAGCACTGATACTTATTAGTTTGTGGACTTTGGTTCCTATCTCAGTCTTAAGAATCAATGAAGCTCTTATCATTCATTCATTCATTCATTCATTCATTCAATAAACCAGGCACTGTGCCAGGTGCCAGCAATACAGAGACAAGGAATCCTTTCCATTAAGGAGTCTACCTTCTAGTATGTGGGTATGAAGGGGAGCAGGAGTGTTAAGGAGGGAACAACATATGAATGAGAAAGTAATACAAAGTAATTTTGGAGAAAAGGCATTAACAACTTGGGGGGAAGGAGAAGAGAGATGGAGATAGGCCTCAAGGCAGAAGTGAAGAGGATGTGGATTCCATGTATGACGGACAGCCTTTGCAGGGGCTTGGAGGCAAGACATGGAATCCCTCTTACAGGAAAAACCTTGTGGGTGGGTTTGGCTGGAACATCATGAATGTGACGGAAAGTGATATGTAATAAGCCTGGAAAGGCAAGCTGGAGCAAGATCAGGCCCTACTACAACCATTCCAGGTTGCATTCATTCAGGAATGGAAAAATACAGTCCCTTAATCCAAAGTACAAAGTGTATAGTGACAGAAACGTGGTCTAGGTGCTTCATACAAGGCTAATGACTGAAGGTATGGAATTGAAAGCTGTCAGCTGTCCCCAGCAGACTCATCTGGTCCTTATGAACCACCAACCGTATCCCTCCTTTTACTCAGTTTTAGTCAGGAAATCCCAAACTTCCTACACATTTTGTCTTTGACGCAAATCAAGAGTCTCTTTCTGATTGCCTTTTGAGAACATCACTCTCCCCAAATCTATCCTCCATATTTTGCTGGCTTTCTTAGCATGGTTCTACTGAGAATCCAGGGAAACATTATAACCTGTTTGCCAGTATACAGCAGTCATAGAGTACTTGCACGTGAGTAGCCCTGTCTATCACACTGTTATGTATAACAGGATAATCAGGACCAGATATCTTGAGGTGGCCCAAGATAAGGTCAAGGAGCTATCATTTCTATCTTCACAAAGTGCCAGAGAGAGTATTTGGTTGGTGACTTTGTTACTATATCTTGATCCAGAAGGTCTCTGTTTAGGGAATTACAGGAACCAGAACATGCTCCTGCCTGCCAAGAGAGCTGTGGTTGTAGGGGATGATGATAGCCACGTTTCTGCCATCAACCACTTCTTCTTGATTGGGCTAGGGGATCCAGATATGACTAAAGGTGCCTGCAATAAGAAACAATCCTAAGTTCATTCCAGTTGCAACCACTATTGCCTTTTATCCCTTCTCTGACCCAGTGCTGATTCATAGCTCCATGGAAGAAAAACAAACAAACCAATAACTCACATCTATATAGTGTTTTAAATTTTAAAAAGCACTTTCTTTGCCAAAACCCTGTGAGACAGAGAAGATGGGCATTACTATCCCCATTTTTTTTTCTTTCTGGGCTTGTGATTTCCCTGTGTATTCTAAGATAACTTGGCACTCATGAGAACGTAGCTTTAGAGCTACAGAAGGGATCACAGAGGACATCTTCTACAAACCCATACTACAAATGAGAAAACTGAAGCCCAGGATAGTCAAGTGACTTACCAAAGTTCACACCAGCAATAATTATTGGAGGCATGATTTGAACTCTGGTCCTCTCACTCGAGAGCCACCATTCAATGATTTACCTAAGGTGCTGAGGGGATGAGTGACTAACCCATGGTCATATAGCCAGTATATGTCATAGAAATGTTTTAAACCCAGGTCTTCATGACTCCAGAGAAAGTTCTGTATCTATCCCAAATGCTGCCTCTTATCCCATTTTGCAGATAAGGAGACTGAGGGGACCTGACCAAGCTCACTTCACTCCCAACTCACTTTCCAAGCCTCTCCACCTTCTCACAAGTAGCTTTCACCTCCACCACACACACACACTTTCCAGCTCCCCTTTGCATATGCAAGCTCCTTGAGTGAAGGAATTTTCTTGTTTGCTTGTATTTGTATTCAGAGAGCTTAACATAGTCCCTGGCACATAGTCACCACTTAATAAATTATCTATCATCTATCCTCTTATCTGTCTATCTATCTATCTACCTATGAATGATGTACTTGGGAATAAACCATCTAATCTGACCCCATGGGCATTATCCCTGTGAAGAAAGGGTCAGCCATTCCTGCCAACTGCAACCAATTTCCATCCGCAAGACAAGCAAGTCAACCTAAGTGAAGAAACAAATACCCTGAGAAAGAGATAGGCATATGCCAAGCAATTCAAACCACTAGCACCACTTTGTCTGCCACTCCCTCTGTCTGTCTGTGTGTCTGCTGTACGTCTGTCTGTCCAGGAGTTTGCTAGAGGCAGCTCAAACCGACTCATCAGAGTCAATTGTTAAATTTTCACTGTGAGCATATACACCTAGAAAACTGGCAAACGCTACAAATCAGGGCTTGATTTATTGTCTTATTGATCGTCTAGAGTGGGTGGGGAACCTGCAGCCTGGAGGCCACATGTGGCCCTCTAGGTCCTTGGGTGTGGCCTTTTGACTGAGTCCATTTTGACAGAACAAATCCTTTTTATTAAGGGGATTTTTTCTGTGAAGTTTGGATTCAGTTAAAGGGCCACATATGAGGACCTAGAAGGCTACATGTGGTCTTGAAGCCACAAGTTCCCCACCCCTGGCTAGACCTAAGAAAGTGAGAGAAAAAAATGTTAATACTTTTAATGATACTAACATTAAAATGTTAATAATATTATTAAAATGTTAATAAGAAACTGAAAAATGTGCTACCCACAGTTTCCCCCCTCTCTTCCCAGAGATCTGATTATTAAACATTTACCAGCCCAATACCTCTCCTCTCTCTCTCTCCCTCTTCCTCTTCCTCTCCCTTTCCCTCTCTCTCTCTCTCTCTCTCTCTCTCTCTCTCTCTCTCTCTCTCTCTCTCTCTCTCTCTCTCTCTCTCTCTCTCTCTCTTTTTCCCTTTCTTGGAAATGGTTTGGGAAGATCCACAACCCACTTCCTAATGTAAGACCCTTTCCATTTTTTTTCATTGTTTTTAGAATGGTCTCAGGGAACTCAAGGTGAGTTTTCTGTGATTCAGAAAGTAGCATTGCTTGTTTAGATTGCATAGCATAACAGGAGATGTGTGGCTAAATTCTATGGAATAGCCATAGTACCGTGATTCCCTCTTGTTCCATTGCACTCTTTTCCATTTCTTGTTACTGAGATTTCAAAATCCACTTGCTTCCCTCTACTGAAGATTAAAAGGCCAATTATCATCCCAGGAAGAGCCCCGATAAATGAGAGTAGTGACATTTCCAGAAACTGTTTTCCTTAGATAGTCCTCTCCCCTCATTCCCCAGTGGCAGTAACCTCAACTCTAGAGCACCAGAAATGAGGGTTTGTCTATGTCCCTACAGGTTTCCCCAGAGCATGGTTCAGTCTAGGAGAATGAAGCTCACCTCCCAGGACTAATCTATTTCAGGACCTCTCTTATGCCTCAGAGTTTATGTTCAGCTCTCCCTACAGTCCCTGTCACTGTGTCTCTCATGGCACAATAGTACACAGCAGCGTCCTTCATTTGAATCAAATTCATTTTCAGTGGGAAGGAATTTTCTTCCTTGTTCTTTTTGTCCCAAAAATCATTTCTGATTTTTTCTTCATTTTCTTTTGACTCTTTTAGGAGGAAGTGAAGAGCTTTGTTGGGGTATTGGACATACCAAAAAAGAAAGGGGAAGCTAGTTGTTCTAAATGTGCAGTTCAAGGTCATTGATTCCCCTTCAGAGACAATAATCGGACCTTCTGTCTGGGTTATTGAATCTCCATTGGTTCCTCCTGGGGAAAAAAAGAGGTCTTTGTTGTTGTTGTTGCATTGGGCTTGAAAAAAATATCCACTATAGCTAAAGGTTAAAAGAAATCTTGACATGGTAAGGAAAAAAAATGGAATTGGTCCAAAATGCAAGTAAAAATGTACTTACCAACTATTAAGATGGCTATAATCATTAAATCCAGCCAAAAGTTCATGGTTAGTGTCTGCTATCCAAATCCTTGAAGCCTTGACTGTTTGCTGTGAAGAAATGATGTGATTTTTCATTGGAGACTCAATTTCTACCTAGAGTTTTGGTATGAAATGTGTCTGTATTGGGAAACAATGCCCTCCTGTGGTTAAATGACTACATTGGTAGAATGCATTACTCTATTCCTCCCAATCTCTGATCTCTGGCACGTTCTTAAAGATTATGCCAGGCATCAGCATATCAAAAGACAGTCACCATATCCCTAATATTTTTGGTCTCCAGAACACTGACCTTTCAGGAGAACTAGCATAACCCAAAGTTCTTAATGATTTATCCTAGATCTTTTCTGCACCTACAGTGACTTTTCCTCTAAGTTACTAAATATTCATGTAACTATGTAATACCTTGTAATGTCAAAAAGGCAAGTTCTAGGTATAAGGTAAGAGAAAGATGATAGGATCATAGATTTTCAGGGTGTGTATTTTTTTTTTCAGGACGTTACCTTAGAGATTTAGTCTTCCTTATTTTATGGATGAGGAAACTGAGGCCCAGAGAGGTTAAGTCATTTTCCCAAGGTCACAGAAGTAGTCAGATGTGAGACAATTTAAGTTCTTTTGACTCCAAATCCAGTGTTCTTTCCACTACATCACAATGGTGTAAGAGAAAACAGTTTAAAGAGATTTCAGGGAGAATGGTGTTTAGTTGAGGCATTTTTTTTTTGCATCTGAAGTAATTGTACCAATATATGAGATGAATTTCTCATCCTTCAGAGATTTCTGAGACTATTTGCCAAATGGTGTGTTTGTGAATGAACCATGAGGTCAGTCCCCCACAGCCATTGTCTGGCGAAACAGCTTCTTTGAAGGAGAAACCAGTTATTTTTACCAATTTCCAGCCACAGCAGGCAAGCCAGACTAGCAAAATAACAAGGTACCACTAGGGAGAGTCGAAAGGTCATAGGTGCCAAGCAAGTTAAACTATTACCACCTTGACTACCACCACCTAGACCACCCCTCAGACTATGATGGGGCCATCTAAAGAGCCCATGGAAAGCAGTAACCTCCATACCACCTCCCTTGCTTCTAGTCCAGCCCTCCGCAATTATCATCTGGGGAAATAACCATGGTGGAGATCCAATCTGACAATTACTCGGGTGGTTATATAGCCTCTGCCTCCTCAGCAGCCACAGATATTGAGACTGGGAAAGAAAAGTTCTTAGCACAAAAATGTTCGGTACTGTCAACTAGTTCAACTCTAGAAATAGATACTAACACTAAAACGTTTACAGTAATATGAAAATAGTAAAGAACTGAGAGACAAAGTAGATGCACGCTGATTAGAGATTGGCTAAACAAATTGTGGTATAGGAATGTAATGAAACATTATTGCACTGTAAGAAACAATGAATATGATGAATAGAGAGGTGTGGCTAGATTTATATGAACTGATGTAAAGTGAAGTAACTAGAGGCAGGAAGACTGAGTACCAATGAACACGATAATGCTTTAAATAGGAAGAACAACCACAACAAAGTAGCCAAGAACAGCACCATAGATCCCAAAGAGATACGAGAACCCGGGAATAAAGAGGGGTCATAAGGAGGAAATTGTTCCCATTGCTTTAACATTGTGTGGATCCCGTTTTTCATTCTTTCATTAGGTGTGCACTTGGGTTTCCCTCCCATCCTACCTCCCATTGCAGCAGCTTCTGTCCTTAAAGTAACCTGGATTCTAAGAGATTAAGTGACCTTTTGGGGAATCACACAACCAGTGTATGTGTAAGAATCAGGATTTGAATCTAGGTCTTCCTGAGAATAGGGCCAGCTCACTTTCCACTAAATCATACTACCTTTCATTATTAATAATATTAATAGTAATGACTAATAGTATTGTTGCGGAGGTCTTATTCAATATGCTGTGTAAGTGAATCAGCAGAACATGTGGAAAGTGATGGAACAAAATGAGAAGAGCCTGGAGCCCAGATTTGATTGGGTAAATCTGCACATTCTAAACCCTAGACTAAAGAAAAGACAATCAAAGTCAATCAACATTTGTTAAATACCAATTCCATGCCAGGCACTGTGCTAAGTACTAGGGATTCAAAGAAAGGCAAATAACAGCACCTTCTCTCAAGGTGCTCATAGTCTGATAGGGTAGATACAAGGGAGCTAAAAAGTAAAGAGGGGAGGTACCCAGAATAGCGGCATGATGAAGTCCTGCCACCTGGGTGGGAAAGGGTGAGGTGATTACCCTAGGTGCCCTCCTTAAATGGGAGAGAATCTGGGAGGAGCTCTCTGATATCTGCCCTCCACCCTCTCCAATCAAATAGAAAGAGGGAGGGGCCCCAGGGACAGGGCTTCTGAGGAGGTCTAAGTCTCAGAGTTAATGTCAGTTTGCAGGATAATGAGTTTCTGGAGATTGTGAAGTCCAGGACAGCAGCCAGGTGGGAAATTATGAAAACACACAATTCTACCCACAAAAGGTTAAAGTACCCCCAGGGCACCTTTTGGAATTGGGTGCTTCATGTAGCACCTAGTAATACACATTTATTTGTTTGACCATAAATAGTCTGTACTATATAATAGAGTCAGAACACTTGGATCAACAGTGCTCCCTGGCAGCTATGTAACTGTGTCATTCTTCTTGCACTTATACCATTATTTGGCAGAAAATGAAGTATTTAAATTTGGAATCACAGAGGAACTTTGTCCCCTTTTCCTTTAAAAGGCATTTAAATGAATCTTGACCTTGCTTAACAGTGACACTGTGGTATCACAGTACCTCGGTCAGATTCTCATTAACAGGAAGGCTTTGAGAGCTTTAGCAACAAATAATGTGCTCAGAGGATCTGAGGCAGATTATCCCATGCCATATTAACCTAGGTAGGATGCTGGACTATTATCCCCATTCTACTGATGCAGACCTAGGCACTACGTTTACTTGCTCCAAGTCCTTCAGTGAGTAATTGGTAAAATTTGGATTGGAGCCCAGTCCTCTCCATCTCAGTCTTGTATTCTGTTCCCTAATGACAACCAAGATTGGATTTGGAATATATTTTCACAGGAACAAAAGACTGTCTTTAAATCAGCCCAGCCACTGAATTTACTAGGACTTTCTTATATTATTTTCCTATCAGGCAAAGCCATGTTAGCCAGGTCTTCCACCTCGGTATGGGAGTCACTCCATCCCTGACAAGAAGTACAACTAGAAAGCTTTGTCTTAGAGGTGCTGTATCTGTTGTGTAGAAATACTGGGCTGAGTTTTTGGTTTGGAAGCCCTGTTATGCTTTTTCTAAGCGAACTGAGAAATTAATTTTCCTTACCACTTGACCCCTCACTCCTTGATTAGTTATCATCAAGAAGATAAAGTCTTCATTGGATCTCATCCATACCAATCTAATTGAACAAAATTCCAGAGGAATTTGAGTTCAAGGTGAAGTCCTGTTCTTCCTGGATGATCCAGGACTGAAAATTCTGCTCTAGGCACTGGGCACTAAACCCTATTCAGAAAGTCACAGAAGACACAAGGGATTGCCATCAGATCCTTATTTGACTAGCTGTGATGAACACTCTCTATGTGATTCAATCTCTGTCTCTCTGTATCTCTCCCCCTCAGTCACTCAACAAGCATTTATTAAGCACTTACTATGTGCCAGGTGCTGAGGATACAACTCTGGATATGCTTTAGTTTCTTCAATAGTCTATGTGGACACTACATGGAATATTTCTACCCAACTCGTGGAAGAGCATTTTGAGCTTGTATTGGTCTGATCAACCACAGTCTGATACACTGTAACTTGATTCTAATAAAGTGGTGTCATTTTGGTCCTCTTTGGGAATGAAGGACAACAGCCAACAAACTAGTTTCTTCAATACCCCTTTTATGGCATGGCTCCCCAAAATTTGAGTAATACCCTAGTCAAGTAGAAGAGGAAGAGGAAAGATGAGATCTGTGTCTTCACTACCTTTTTCTTCTGGACTTTCCTAAAGTGTTTAGCAGAGTAGTCTCATCCAACAGCTTCCTTTGACAGTTAAATGCCTTTAAAAAAAATAGCCACTGTCTCTGATCCTATGTTAAAGCCCCAACTGTAGGGATTTAGTGCAATCTGCAGATGCTAGGGAACACTGTGCCAGTGAGGCACAGAGGTAGGTGTCTCAGTCTCTGGGCTGAATGGCTGGTATGCTCAGAGAGCTGTGATGTCCTTTAATATTGAGTGTGGCCATAAGTTTTCCTCTTTGTTTTTCATCTCCATCTGAAAACATTGCAAATAGGAATGTCAGACCTTTTGCAGGATCTTGCCAGTACCAGTGTATAATAGTTATAGAACTTGTGTAAGTGCAGTTCAAAAGGGTGCTCTGGTACTCCTGGAGGCTCAGAGATACAGGACTCTGCTCCATCTCCACTTGACTTCTCACTCCTGTTCAAAAACACGATGACAGAAACCAAGTCATCACTATAGAGTATACATTTTCTTTCCATGATCTCCACAAGAAGTTAGGTGAACTACACCAAGCTTTGTTCTCTCCTTTTTCAAGCTTTTGGTACATGCCTTCTGATTTTCCCTATTTCCCACTCCAGAAAACCCTCAACTCACAGGCCAGCTAAAGCTACAGGATCAGTAATGAAGGTCTCAGAGACGTTGTCATTTTTTTTCCTGCCTACGTTCACCAAGGACTCAGTTCAGGCACCTGGGATGCTGCCAAGGTCCTCAGTCATGTGAATTATTTCTGTTTTCTCATTCTTCTACTACAAGAAACAACGGAGGATCTGAGACTGCCCAGACAATCAGAGGTAACTTCATTGTTTCCACTCACAAGTACTGAGTGAGGCATCTATTCAGGGTCTATGAAGGGCAATAGTAGTGCTGTCATCTTGTAGCTCTGTTCACACTGGGTTTTTTGTTTTATTTTTGAGACTGTCTTCCATTCCACCCTGGCTGATAATACTTTGACTGATCCCAGTGTTCATCTGTATTGGAGCTTTGTCGTGTCAGACTTAGTGCAGACACAGGATTGGCTTTAGCCCTACTGCAAGCTCAGAATCCCCAA